TGAAGATATTTAAACTGAGGTTTATTGTGACATAAAAGCTGTAGAGGCCGTTCTCCTCTACAGTAATACGCAAAAATATAGCACTATATATTGTGACACATATAAAATTATATCACTGTATGCCAACAGTTGGCACGGTAGCACTGCAGTCCCCGAGGGACCCTGTTCTGCGCATGGCTTTGTGTTATGGGCATGGACCAATGGGCTTTACTTGTGTTTTACAATCCTGCTCTACAGAAAGAGCTGGAAAACAACCTGGTAGCTATTCAATTTAGGCTTGCTGTCAGCTTCAAAGCTTGGAAAGACCTTTGAGACTGTTAAATTTCACTTTGCTAAGACAATTTTCTGCACTCTTGTTCCCAAACTCTGCTTGCATGTGTATGTGTGTGATGGAGAGCTGGCATTTCGTTGGGGAAATTTCTGGTCATTGGCCTGGGGCAGGAGCAATCACCAGTGGGGTAGAAAGGAAAATCAAATATCATTTTTCTTGCCAGTTATTGACTGGCAATTGCCTGAAGTCTCTACATTTCTGGAGGAGTGTTTTTTTTTGATTTATACTTTTTAATAGCTTCTGGACTAGACCTAGGTGTGAAGCAATTTCTCCTAACAGATTTTTTTTCTTCTGCTGGTTTCAAACTTATGAAACTAAAAGGTATTGCTACAAGGGCATCCTCTGGCTGAAGTAAGCTGCTTGGAGGCACTGTGGGTTTGTGAGACTAATGTTTCCTTCTAGTGGTCTGTGTTTTTTCAGTAATATTTAAGAATCTTGCCCCTACAGGTACCTGCTAAGCTATAAAGTCTGATATTGTCAGCAGGCATATGTGAGGGCGGTTAAGAGTCATTCAGCTGAGAAAAGCCCCAGGAGCTGTTTCTCTTTGGTGAATTCATTTCAGTGGAAATAATAATAATCATAAAAAGCTTTGTGAGAAAAGAGGCCATTGTACTATCTGTTTATGGCAAATTCGAAGCAAAATTTATTAAACAAAATTAAGAGCTCTGACTGTTTTCAGAAGTTGTACTGTGTTTGAGTTATCCTTTTGGTTTTTTTTAAAGCAATCTCATTCTCTCTCTCTCTCAGAGACACTCACACTGACATTCACAATCAGAAATTTATATTTCTTTTTTAGAACAGAAGACGCAAAGTCATAAAATGTACTTGCAGGTTACAGTATTTCTAGGTGTCAGGTCCTTGAAGTACCAAGATGATGTGAATAGGTGAGGTATGTCAAGAAGATGGTAAAAAAATGTCAGTTTCCCTGACTGCTCAGATACATGGCAGAATATTCTTATCTTCAAATCCGATGGTATAGCCCCCAGACTATAAACAATACAAACAAGCTAGAATGTATATGTGCATTTGTGTTATTTTTCTTCTTAGGATCACTAACTGCATTGCATATTGTGCTATATATGATGTTTTAAAGAAAAGAAAAATGAAAAGTAATTCCAGAAACCATTTTTTTTTTCCAAGGACAAAATCCAAACAACTTCTTGGCTCTGTGAGTTAATGCAGAAGGTCTAAAGGATTTTTCAAGCACATTATAGACACAAGGAAAGGAACACATCGTGATCAAGCCAATTTGATTGTATTACCACACATATATTTTAAGCTTTTGCTGCCTCAGAACTGGATTATAGTAATACGACCTGTTTAGATCATTGGCTCAATTCAGAAGAATAAAAAACTGGTGCCAAATGCACCAGCTGCCTTTTGGGAGCACAGTGCTGTCGCGGCCTGATTCACATTGGCTGTGTGCTGTTGTCCAGAACAAATTCAAGATAAAAAAGTGCAAAATAGTTTAGAATTTCACATTTAGAAAGCTAATGTGCTTCATGCACCCAAGAATTTCTACTGCTGAAAGCTCTGATGGCTGGGTTAGAGTGTGTTTTATAGGAGATGTAGAGGGGCTGTTGGAGGGGGAGTTTGAAGGTGTTTTGATCTCTGGAAAAACTCCTTTCTAGTACAAATCTCCAGGCTGCTCACTTTCAGCAGTAAGCAATGTAAGAGGGCTAAATTTGCACAGATCACTTTGAACATGGTTTTTAAAGGAGAGTTGTGTTTGCAGGTGGAGTAGCACACCTTTCAAGGCTTTTGCTTGATTGGTTGGGTTTTGTTGAGATGAGTGTGTGTAAACAAACCCTGATTTTGTTTACATGTCGTGTGGTAACCTATTATTTGGTTCCAGATTGACTAGCAAATCACCAAAAAGCAAAAACATGGAAGAGCACAGAAATTGCCCAAAACTGCCAAAGGCCTGGGCTGGTCAGTAACTGTTTCAGAGCTCTCAAGGAGCAACAGCATCTCCTCCAGGTTTTGGAGCTTAGAGACTGTGAGAAGAGTGCAGCCCGAGGGTAGGTCTAGCTGCAGGCTGTGGGTGTCTCCTGCCACCTGGCCCAGGACTCAGATGGACCCAGATGGGGAAGAGGCATCGTCTTCCTCCTCCTGCTTTGCTCACAGTGACCAAATCCAAGCTCCAGAGTCATTCAAACCAGTGACCTGGATGGAGGTTTGCAGGCAGTTAGCTCCCATGGTTTAACACAGCCACGAGGTATACCTTGGGCAAGTCTGACTCCATCAAAGTAATTTTTGTCTATGGTTTGTTTGTTTTCTTTCTCCTTCCTACTCCAGGTGTGTACACTTTTCTTTCCAGCACCTTGAAATCTCTGGAAGAGAGAGACTACATTCACCGTGTTCTGGACAAAATCACAGACACTCTGATACACTTAATGGCTAAGTCGGGTCTTTCTCTGCAGCAGCAACACAGACGACTGGCTCAGCTCCTCCTCATCCTCTCTCACATCAGACACATGAGGTGAGAGCAAGAACGCAGTCAGCCCTCCTGCACTGGGACCGTGCAAGGGAGGTTTCACAAATGCACATGCACACTTTTCCTTCACAAGTGGGAGTGCACACTGTGTGTAGAGCTGTTGTAAAAAAAAAAAAAAATTAAAAATGTCTACTTTCCAGAAAGATATATGGAACATGTGTGTAAAATAGTTCATTGGATTATGGTGTGAAAGGAGTAAACTTTTTACCCGTTTGTTTCTTCTAGTTTTCGTTTCCTTTGCTTCTTGTTTTGATAGTGCTGTAAGCAGTACCTGCTTCTAATGTTATGTGCATCTTGTATTCTGGTTGAAAAGTACCGAGCAGAATATTAACATAGCAGTAGCCTATTTCTGCAAACTTTAGTCTCCTATAAGACAAGATTTAATAAAACTATCACCTTTATGTAGCCACTTTTCACAAGTGGCTTGATTGTAAATCACTTCAGAAGAGAGATTAGAATCATTATGTGTATTTTATGCGTGAGGATAAATGCAGATCTACTGAATCCCAATTGAGAGGACTCTGCCCTTTGCTAATTAGAGGTGAGGTGTCCGAGGCACTCTGTTAGAGTTGCAGCAACGATTCTCCCAAATGTAATTACCTCTTAAAGTAGCTGCTTAGTGGCTGGAGTGTTAACAACATGACAAGTCTATGCAAAGATACAGTACAGATTTTATTTTTTATGTTGTTACACAGATTTTAATTTTCATTATTTCAGTTAATAAAATTAAAATTAGAGTAAGCAGCCCATCATAGCTACTAAAGCTGAAACATGCAGATCTTACCCCTCGGGCTGTTATACAGGTTTTCGGCAAAAAATCAAGGGCTGTGTGCATGTGGGTTTTTTTAACTTGTGTCTTTTTGTGGTTTCTTTGTCTTCACGTTAATAATTTTTTTCCTTTTTTTTTCCCTTAAGAAAAAATTGTACAGTTGAGGAAGTTCCAGATGCCCAGTGAAGTTAATTATTGTTTCCATAATTTTGAGAATGGATACTATTACAAGTGAGCATTTGCTAATAAATTGGCTGAGGTTATTTTCTAGGAAAAAAATCTGATGTTATAGGGTTTATTATGGGAAAGCCAAGATTCATCCCACCCACTTAGTCACAGTGACTAAATTAGGAGTCCATACACTCTAGGCTACCTTTTAGCCAAAGGAGAGCAAAAGAGCCACCTTTAAGAGGCAACTTGCTCATGGGCAGTCTGAACCATTCTTTGAAGGTAACTTCTGCTAACTGTAGCAGGAGTGTACAGCAACTGCACTGTTAAGTTAGTTGTTTTGTACAAGGTGGAATTTATATGAACCTAATAAGTATTATTAGCTGATAGCTTTTTTTTTCTCCATAGCGTATTTGGAAAGTAACTACTGTTTCGTTACTACCCACAGCAACAAAGGAATGGAGCACCTGTACAATATGAAGTGTAAAAACGTAGTTCCTCTCTATGATCTCTTGCTGGAAATGCTGGATGCTCATCGACTGCATGCTCCAGCAGCCAGGAGTGCTGCACCGATGGAAGAGGAGAACCGGAGCCAGCTGACCACTGCATCAGCTTCATCTCATTCCTTGCAGTCTTTTTATATAAATGGCAAAGAAGAGGAGAACATGCAGAATACAATATAAACAAAAGTCAGCATATGTAATGGTATGAGAAACCCAGCAGCATACTACCTAGCTCATGCTTCATTTCGTCTATAGTGCCATCTATGTAAACACTCCAATGACAACAGTCACCTGCATTTTCCCTTTGAGTGTTTGTCAAGCACTTGCCTAAACTGATTGCTTATCCTAGACAGAAGACATTTCATTGCTGTGGTCAGCCAGTAAGGATTGTCAGGCTCACCTGATTTAAAATTTGTAGTGTTTTTATTCAATTTTGCATGTAAATTGGGTAAGTCCCAATCTAAACAGAACATTCATTTTACTATAAATTAATAGGCCATACCACACATGCGTATTGGTATATTCAGAGTGGTAGCCTTTGTTGATGTCCACCATGAATTCTGAGCTTGCTTAATCCTTTACTTGCTTGCGACTTTGAAGAAGTTTGGTAGAGATTCTGGATGACCTTTTCAGGGGAGTAAATGGAAAGTTAATTGGCATCTTAGTATGCCATGGTGAAACTGCACTGCTAGTGACTGCCCTGGTAGTTCAGGTAGATTCCTGCCTCTGTTCTTCCTGCAGTAGGAAGGAACCCCTATCTGAGAACAATACTGTTTTACCTTGCTGGCTTACATCAGCACACAACTCTCTCTCAAGACCACACCGATCAAACTTTCAGGTCCCCTTACCATATCTGCTAGCTGAATTGTATTGTGTGCATCTTTTCTTGTCTGATTCTACAAAGCTAAATCATTCTGTTGCTTGGCAGTGTAACAAGGCAAATGGTGATAACATAGATAATTACTCTTAAATCAGACCAGGTGTTTACAAAAATCATCAGGTCTTAAAAAAAAAAGTCTTCACACACATACATGATCCAGCACTGTTTTATAAAAATCCTCCCCATCCTTCACTTTGTTGTGCTACAAACCAAGGGGTGAGGATGCCAGTGCAAGGCTGGCACAGCAGGGTGGAATGGTGCCATCCCTCTCTGTAGAGTGTGGCCCAGCCATGTATGGGAGGGCTGGCATCACAGCCAGAGTAGCAGGCTTCATGTTGCCTTGGCTGGCTTTGGCTCTTGTTGGGGCATGCTCAGAAATCACTGTTAAAAGCCAGCTCACCTGTGATACCAGAACTGGGCAATGATCCTCAGACATGGTGAAGACTATGGGACTGCATGTCCAGGAAGATAAATCTGGTTTTCTCCATCCTTGTGTGTAACTGTTTTTCATAAGGATTAGTCAGATTCTTCAGACCAGCTGTAAATATGCAAAAGCTCCACTGACATCAAGAGTTTCAGCAAGACATGAAGGAGAGAGACTGAAGAAATCCATGCTATATGCTATTCAAAGTAGGGGTCGGTGCTGCTGTTTGACTGCCTCTATGCTAGAAAATTAAATGTGTCAGGGAACGTTGCTGGGTACTGGAATGTGATTATTACATATGCCAGGGATATTTTATTAGTCTAACGATAAACTTTGCCTATGCTATCTGCACTTCTGGTTTACAGGTGTGATATGGGATTTAGCACGGACCAGGGAATATTCCAACAGCTGGTTGGAAGCGACCACCCTGCCAGTAAGGACACTTCATAGCGCACGTGTAGGCTGCTCCATAGCAGCTGGCCACAGTGCTAGAGAAGGGTTCAGGGATGCTTCTTTTACTGCTAGAGTTGAAACCTTTATCTTAGATTATGTTGATTGGAATATCCTGTAGTAACTAAATATAGGAAATAGCGCAACTGATGCCATACAGGAGTGCCTATGTCTAATTATGTGTCCTGTTACACAAGCAGAGTCTGTGTGCAGTGAGATTGAGTTACATAGCAATCGTGAAGGCAGCAAGGCATAGGATGAGTTTGTGCTCCAAGTCAAGGATTTGATTCTTTAGTGATTGTACATAATGATGTCTATAACTGTTTCATGTACATATCCCAGGATACGTGCAGTTTAGAAGTCTAAAGCTAGATGCTACCTATCTTTGAGAAGATTCCTCAAAAACTGTGCAAGCCTGAACATGTGAAGCAGTCACTGTAAGTTAATAGGCCTTTTATCGATGCATATTATAGTGTCTTTTTCTGAATGTGCTGAAGGATTTGTCTTTTTGTGTATTCGGTAAGAGTGTGCATGTGCGTGTGTGTGTGCAAATTTGGTACCTAAGGGCTTTTGGAGGGCTCCTAAATGCCTTGAAAGAAAATACGCATTTTGTTTTGTTTAGTAGCTGGTTTTCAAACATGTTAGAAAAATTGTGAATGCCCTGAAACGAGTGCAGGCTAAGGTCTGAATGGAGCACAGGAATCCTTGTAGTTACATTTCTGTGGTTACACCATCGTCATTCACTTGTAGTCCAGTGTGTCAGAGTTGCTCTTTAAATACTGTAGGTGTAACTCGATGTTCTTTATGACAGAACACACAGATCAAGCTCATAAGCTGCAAGGCAAACTGGTTTAAGTGAATGCCTCCCTTCCTACATCCCAGAACAGTTCATTACATTCATTCAAGTGTAAGTTTGGCATAGGGGAAAAAATAGTAATGCATGGAGAGCGATTCACAATAGAGAATCAGATTCTGACGGTACTTACACAGGGCAAGTACCACCATGCTCTACAGATTCTCCCGGTGAAGCTGGATAAGCGTGACTTGAAGTGGTATAGAGCAGACAGCAGGGTATCATAATGTGTCTTGGAACATGAGGAATAATCAGACAGTTCACAGTCTTAATTATGTATGCTTTCCTAGGCTCAGCCCTTGCAAGGAAGTAATTTAGCTTCAACCAGTCCTCCCATGTTTGTGGTGAAAACAGTGAAGGGCACCCAGGAAAGAGAAAGAGTGATTCTCAGTAATACATTCATTTACCTTGGGGCAGTTTCAGGATCTGTATCGTTAACTTGTCTATGATAATTTAATTGAAGCAGCACCTTAATGAATATAGTAATCTTCCCATAGTGATTTATAAAGATGATTGTCCACATATCAGACAGCTGAATGTAGCTATTCAATTGATTAAACAAAGTTTATGATACAAAAATGGCAACTTTTTTCATATGTAATTTTGAATTATGCTCTCGTGTATGCAAACAATTGTGCCTCACATTTGGTAATTGTTATTTCACAGGATGCTATTTTATGTGTGTGTGTGTATATATCTCTATATACATATATACTTTATATTTGCAGCTGACAAACCAGTACTACCTGAATACCTGGTGCTGGATATTAATCAAAAATATATAGCATGTAAAAAACCATATATATTTGAAAGAAAACTATTCAAGGCAGCTAATTATGCTTTTACCAAAAGATTCATAGTGATATCTCTGGACAGCTAATGAAAGAATTATTTTATAATGTTTATACGTGGATTTTTTTAAAAAAAAACACACAACAAAAAAACCCAAAAAACCCCTAGAAACATAGGCAATGGAATACCAGCACAAGCCAAACACAAATAGACCGGATGAACTTGCTTTGCTTGAGAATATGATTGTTATTGAATTATTACAAAAAACTTGGGAGGCAGGAGAGGAAATAGAGGGATGCATACCACTTACTGGTGTCTGAGTTTCCAAAAATACATGAAAGCTACTCTGGTCTGTAGTGGTTCAAGCCGTGTCTCGATGTTGCAGACTTTGTCTCAGGTAAAACTCCCAGTTGGGGCAGTAGGATTTGTACTGGGGTAAAATAATTTAATGAGAGTTTCTTGGTGCATGTTTGTGGTAAATTTATTATTACATTTCAGTGACATCTCATGATGATTTTTCTCCTTCTGTACACTGAGGGCTTTAATAATTTGAAAAATTAATTTAAAAAAAGATATCTGAACTGAGTTCCCAAGGATATTGCAAGGACTGTCATCACGTCACTGGACTTTACATTGAAAAAAAGGAAGAAAACTCAAACCACACCCCTGTCCTCCAAACCAGGGTTTGTATTGAAGCCTCCATCCATTCCAACTGATGCTGACAATTCCTTAAGAGTTGTGCCAAATGTTTAAAATTAAACAAAATACCAGCAAAGTAAAAATTCTGCCTCACTAGGGCCTTAGTCTTATCACAGGCTTTGGTAGGAACATGGCAAGCTTCTCTTGTGTATATAGTATCCTGCTTTAAAGTTAGAATGCAACCCAACCTAAAGCTAATGGGATTTTGTATATAAGGTATTCTCAGCTGAACTTATGTGAAGTGCATTTCTTTCTTTGAATAAAGAGACGGATATTTTCAATGCTATCTGCAATCTTAATGTAGCTTTACAGATAGAAACTCGACATATGTAAAAGAAGGGTCATGTTAACAATGGTATCGTAATACAAACCAGTCTTTGCTGTCACCTGCAACTATAGCATAATCTCAAATTGATTTGAGAATTTTAAATTAATATTTCCCTAATATTAATGTCCTACCCTTTCTACTGCCAATTCTCTTTCATCTTCAAATGTAGATAGCCTTATATCCTGAAAGTTGTTTTCAAAGTGATTGTTGCCCATAAGGGTATTCGGTTTTGCACTGTTTAAAAAAAAAAAAATCTAAAAAAAATCCTTTGCATTCAAATGTGCCTAAAGAAACAAACAAAAAAAGTTAAAAAATATATATGCTGCCATCTTGCAAATTAGTATGCTCTGTACTCCTGTGTGCCTATAATGAGAAGTCTCTTTCTTCAGAAAGTGCCCATTGGAAAATGAAGGGATAGACTGCTGGTTACGAAACTTGCATTAACAAGCCACTTTATGTATCACCTTATTGTATATACTACAAAACTAATGCTTTTGTGTGCACTATGTAGTCTGTCAATGGAAAGTCCTTTCTTTGGCATAGGCTCAGCTGCCATAACGTATTTGTTGAAGTATTCTGTTCTTTCACTGATGCATATAAAATTATCGATGTCTTTGTTTTGGTGAGGTTTTTTTTTTCCTTTGTTTTGCACCTAAAAAAGTTCTAAAAAAGTCTAAATGAAAAATCTCATAGGCTACCTGATTGGTGCAAGATTTTTATCAATGTATTTGATGTTGAAAATAAAGAATTAACCAGAACACTTTGTATCATTTTTTTTTTCTTTTGCATAGTTTTAAATATATGCTTCTCAGCTTATTGTTTTCCAGTAGCCAGCAAAATGGTACACTATTTTTTACATCTAAATGAAAACTGTTTCTTAATTAGTTTCTTCATCTTTCCCCAAAATCATCAGAGAGTGTCGCTATCTAAACTCGACAATGTGTTAGGTCTAGGCTCTAGTATTCCTAATGACACCAGTGAAGTCACCAAAGTACTTAGTACTTTATATGCTTTAATGTGCTTAGAATTTTATGTTCTTTATGTTCCTTATTTTGGCTTGTGAAATAGATTATGGTGGACGAGACAAATTGTATGAATTTAGCCTCCTGTAGTTGACTGCCACTTAAAATGAATTAGCTAGTATCAAGTAAAATAGCACTTCTTTCCCAAGTGAAAACTAGTCCTCAGGGAAAAAAAAATGTCTTGACTAAGCTGTCAGGAAGGGGATGAACAGAAATGGAAGATACTTTTATGGACATAAAAACTCTTTGAACTTAACCCTATCCTGTAAAGTGCTCCCAAAATTACATTTGGTCTTTGCAAAGAATCAAATCAGTAATCTGTAACATTTATATACATATGTAGGTATTTCAATACTTGTAGATATAGGTCTATTTGTAATATACAAAGAGTATATAGTCTCTACATTGATTTTTTTCATCTATTTTCTGTGCTGTGATGGTTCTGAGTGGGACTGTTGGCTCACAGGTTCTTCTCTTTTCCTACGTGAATATGTAGGTAAAAGTTCTGGTTTTATGTGGTGTTTCACTGTATATAACTTATCAGTAAAAAAATTGTAAGATTATTACCTTAATTCTAACTAGCGTCTCAATGATTAAGA